CCCTGTCAGCAATTTCCATGCCAGGAGCCAAGATAAGCCCACTTATCCTGTGGCCAAGGTCATTACCCAGGTTACAAGAGGACCACGGACTTTGAGCAGAAGTTACTCTGAGCCCTGGCTCAATGCAGCTTTGGAGAGACCCTCCAACAGGTACTTTTTTGTCTCTTTGACAGACTTTCCTTCTGTTGACTTCTCTAGTCTGGAAGGGAAAACAACCAGTGCTGAAGAGCCAAACCCGTTATATTTTAGCATAAAAGCCTCGTTCAATTAATAGCAGGAAGGGTGGGAGGCCCAATAGCCAAGTGCAAATGTAGAAACTCTGAGACACCTCCTTTCCCCCACCACTCACCAAAAAGAAATTAAATCTCTAGTGGTTTATTCTATCATCAAAGGTTTTTCTCTGCACCAAAATGAAACATATAATTTCCGTGCTTCTGTGGAAAGTAAAAAAAAGGAAAACCTGGTTTCACATCAAGGTGGTGCTTTTGGTTTTGTCTTCCAAATAGCTCAGAACTTCCCAAAGGGCTCTTGCTTCTGCTCTCCCCTCTGCCTGAGAGGATTTGAGCTGCTCAGAAAAAGGCACAAATTCTGCATATTTTGGGACACACGAGGGGCTCTTCCTGATCTCACCTTGTAGAAATAACCATACAGCAGCAAGAAGTGCTACCCTCAAGACCCATTTGCTGTCATCTCCATAACGAGTTAGTTAGCCTTAACTAGCCCTAATTAGCCCTTTTGCTCTCTGGATGAAAAGACCAGGAACTAGGATGGACACTTTCTGTGCCAAAATGGTCATTTTTGGGGAAGTTACTGTTTGGCCAAGAAGCATCATTTCTCTAGATCATTTCTGTACTTCTGTCTGGCAGGCACAGTGAGAACAGCAGAGCAGTGGGACCAGAGAAGGACAAGGAAAATGGAACATCTGCTTTCCTGTATTGCACCTACTGCACCTAGTGGTCCTAGAGAGACTGGGAAAGATTGGATCTTTTTCTCCCTAAATGGAAGGGGAGCACTGTTTCTAGCAAAAAGACAAAAATAGACATTCACCTCTAAAAATTAAAAAAAAAAAAAAAATAAAAGGGAAGAATAGTGCCAGAACTTCATGCCCAGCACTGCAGAGTTGTGTCTTCTCCCAAGGCCGTGCAGCTGCCCTGTGGGGACACCTCGTGGCTCCAGTGGCACCTTTGGTTTGCCTTCAGGGAAGTCAGATTTGGAGGTAGGAAGGACAGGGGACAAGTCTAGAGCAACTCTTCTAACGATTTCTTTAGCCTCTATTGAAATTATAAGCATCTAGTGAAATTCTTTAGCATCTAGTGGCTGAGTTTGAACCCCTCACCCTTTCAGATGCCCTGGACCAGCAGTGCTTGGCTGCTGCCTTCTCCTGCTGGCTGGTGCAGGTGAGTCCATGAGCAGCAGCCCAGCCCCACAGAGGGCAGGGTGGTGCTGCCAGGAGTTCTTGCCAGGAGTTCACTCATGGGGATGTGGTTTGGGAGGGCTGAGATCAAACGTTTCACCAGGTTTCACTGTTACCAGCCTGGACACTAACAAGAAACTTAATTTACACCATGTCTAGTTTCACAGTGATGCAATCAGACAGGAGTATAGCATCCAAGGAGTTTGTATTAATTATTTCCCTGTTTGTGCAACGTGCAGAGAAATGCCTGGCACCTGCTTAGAAAAGCCAACCTCATCTCCTGTGGCTTTGCAGAGAAAAATGGGAATGCCTGATAACCGTGTCTGACTCCTCCCTCCTCCAGGTATTTCATTCAGTGGTATCAAGGAGCCCTAATCAGACAGAGGTGGCCTCTGGCTCACCTCCTTCACCTCTCCTCACAAGGCAGAGCTCCTGTTCTCAGAAGAGGCAGATGTTTATCGTGCTCTGCTCTGCAGCAGCACCAGACCACACCAAAGAGAAGTTACCAAACAGCATTTGGTTTTCTCACGATGGGATTTCGAAATGAAAATCGATGCTTTTCTCTTGAAAGCCCACAAAAGTAGCGCAGTCATCTTCACCTGGATTTAACTTCTCCAGTTTGGAGAAGTTAATGGGTCAGGATTACTTGTGGTGTGCTGGCTGATGAAGAGATGCCTGTGATTCCTGCTCCATTTGCATCACCTGGTGCACAGCCATCCCACCTTCTCCAAAGCACTTCTCTAGGCTTCCAGGTTGAGGAGAAAAAACTTTTCCCAGTCTGACTCCCTCTCTACTAGCTCCATCTGGAGGCTCCAAGAAAACTTGCACTGTAAAACTACTTTTATTTGTATTTATTTATTTTATAATTTATTTAGGATTTGAGGTGGTCTTGGCATTGATGATTATGGTTAGCAGACTTGAAAAAATAAAACAGCTGTGCAATTAAGTTTTTAGTTATAAATTAATTTAAGATTCTGTAAAATCAAAACAGTGGGCTTATTTGTGGCTAAGCTGAAGACTGCATCTCTATCTGTTCACTTCTCTATTTACCTGCAGTTACAGAGTTTTATTTTAGGCAGCTGGCTGCTCAGCCTCTGTTCTAATTCAGCAGCATTTAGCACGCTGCTTTGCAAAACTGCCACTTAAAGAGCTGTTGGAATGTTGTTTTGTTTTTTTTTTAACAAAATGTGTTACTTAAAATATCTGCTGTTTAAGCTGCAAATAGTTATAGTTATGTAACTTCCTCTTTTATTACTACTGAGGTATAGCTATTCCCTAGGATTTGGAGTTCTTGGAATACTTGGAATTCAAAATGTGTCTATAGATGTAAAAAGTAAAAGTAAAAGGAAATCATTCTAATAAGCTCATTCAGGACATCTTTCCTCAGGTTTGTAAATCCAGTGCTCTGGAAGCACTTGCCAGAGTTCTCCTGCCTTCCCTTGAGGAAAATGAGATTCAAACCTATTGATTGGATGTGATGTGATGGCTTATAACTCTGCCCAGGGGTGAAGCTCTGTGGTGAGTACCAGTATAATGTTGATTTAGATTCATTTGTTAGATCTGGGGTTTCCAGCTTCAGCTGAGTTACTGTAAGAAATCGCAGGAACAGCTCTACTGGGGGAATGATGATGCGAGACAAACTTGGAATCGGTTTTTTGTTCATTTGGGGAAAAGCTTTCTTTCTTTTCCCTCTCAAAAGAATTCTTCCTGGGAATGGAAAGCTGTCAAGAAAGCACAAAGAGATCAGATTAGCAGCCTGCCTTGTGCAGCTTCAGGAGCACGAAGGGAGGATTTGGGACTCAGGGATTTGGTGTTCCACGACAAGGCATGCCAGCCAGGCTGAACAATTTCCAGCCTTCCCTGGGAGCCTTTCTGCTGACACACAGACTCAGCCAGGAGCCCTAATGTTCTCAGCTGCTCCATCTAGGAACTTTCCAGAAGTGGATCTGACAATTCCAGCCCTAATTTCCCCTGGGATTTGTTTCTCAAAGACTGCTTGTACGTACTCTCTCAGGAGCTGCTGCTTGAAGTCCCAGCTTTTGTTCTCCTGGAGAAGTAATCAATGTACTTGGAGAAGTAAAGAATGGATGTGAAAGCCTTTCCTGAACAGAAAGACTTTATGTCCTGGAAATACCTCATCAGTAACTGGAGAGTAACTTCCAATACAAAGAATTTTCACCATGTGGTAGCTTGTAAGTAGCAGGATAGCAAAGAATTTGGACAATGAGCAGGTGAGAGATTTCCTGTTCAACTGGTTCATGAAGTGTGGAGGGAACAGAAACAGCGCTTAAAGTCAGCATGAGGAGATAAATGTCAGTGCAACTGTTAACTGGAGCTCAGTGCATCAGGAGAGAGAGATACTCCACCAAGTGCAGAGCTTACAATGGAAGGGTTCTGATACATGGTTAGAAGCATTGCTTTACAATAAATTAGTTGTCTCATGCAAAAGGCTGCTTCAAAACAGAATCAAAAAGCCCTGAAGAGCCAGATCTTCCAGATTTTGTTTCTTAAAGCTAATTCCTTACATGGTGATGCTGCAGTAGGTATGGCACAAAGAACACCAGCAGCATTTATCATCCCTTATTTATATTTATCAGGCATAGATGTGCATTTTTTCCTTTACTTAGTCTTTTTACACCAAGTAACAGTATGCACTGCAGCCATCTCCTGTAACATTCACTACAAAACCACCTTAATTTAAAATAAATTGTAGCATGGTAATTACTGCAATGAATTCCTTTGAGCCCTGAGCACATGTTGAAATGAGATTTTATTGACTTTCCATGGAACTGCCAGAAGGCAGTCAAACACAGTGGCAGCTTTTCTTCCCTCCCTAATTTCTGCAGAAGTGCCCAAACTGTCATGAAAAGACAGGTGCATGACATTTTCTCCTCAAAACTAAACTCTAAGGGGCTCAGAGGAATGAGAAAAACAGTGAAAAAAATACAACTGTGTATACTTCCTGTCTATTTTTAAGACTGCATAAATGCTTGCAACAGCTGCTTCATAAGCATTCATGGCCTTCACCCACTGTGCCCTGTGCTGCTGCACATTCCCATTTCCTGAAATGCTTCTCTCCCCTTTCACCTCTACATATAAGTCTCTGCTGCAGCATTGTCACTGTACTCAATCAGTACACCAATATTCTGACAGCAGACTTACTTTTATGGATAGGCTTACTGATGTTTGCTGATTTATTTTATATTCTGGCTGGTAAATCCTCAAAGAAACCATTCAACTTGCTTATAATTCAGTTTAACCTTTCGTTTTCTTGTCAAAAAAGTTCTGTTTTTCAAATCATCATTAAATGAAAACAAACCAAAAAAGAAAAATGAGACTCCAGATATGATAGACCAAGATTTACTTTAGTACAAGGCAGGAACTGCTGTTAGAACAGGACAGACACCAACTCAGGCAAAGGGAAATGTTAATCATTACAAAAGTTAATAATGCTTAAAGCTTAAACTAGTTTCCCCCAGTTTCCTAAAACAGGCTTTCAAGGTTTTTTTATCTTGTACTATTAAACCGTGTTAGTTACATAACTAAAACATGCAAATAAAGTGCAACAGACTACTCTTAGCCAGTATCTGATTGAACAACTTTTAATATTTCTACTGACAAACATTGTAAGCATAACCAGAGTGAAATGTATTTACTTGAAGTCTGTCCAGCGATAGACTTGGGTCACTAATTTCACTTTCAGCTGAGACAGAGGCTGCTGAAGTGATCACAGACTGGGATGTGCTCCAGTGGTGCCAAATTCTAATCAAAACTCAGATTGTGCGTTAGTAGCCAAGGCCGAGGCAAACAATTATCCTGTACCATACACAAAAGCAACTAGGATTGAACAGACAAAAACTTTGGTCGACAAACTAGTTTTACTTCTTTAATAATATTTTGCTAATAACTCAAGAGGCACGACAGTACCAGTAAGCATATGAACTTTAAAATGCACAATGGCCACAGACAGCTGACTTGGATACAGTATTGGTGCTTGGTAGCAGACCTACAGACGGCTTTTCAATTCTTCCACTCTGAAGTGATTTTGTATTTCCTCCTGACTTAGTCATGCACTGGAGAGGAATTCCACAGCAGTCTCCTTCTCTTCAGTTAACTCCTTGGCAGTAAGATCCATCTTCTCACGAGAAAAATCATTAATAGGAAGACCCTCAACAAACTTCCAGGTCTTGTCCTGATTGAAAACAAACAAATAAAAAGCCCCCCATGTAAGAACAGGCTTCATTCAGTCTGCATGAAAGAAACTTTGTGGCATAAGAACACAGCTAATGGCCCTAAGAACCACATCAGGCAGAAGTTAATTTTATTCCAGATAAAGAATGCAACCAGCACCAGGTAGTCATGTCAGATTGTACTTGTCAGCACTTAGCTGACAATCAAGTTAACTTTACTTGGTTAATAAGAGTCCTCTCTGTGAAAGAAAGACTGCTAAACCCCCACATCCCAGCAACTGCAGTCCCACACTGCTACTAACCAGCTCACATGACAGTTTAATAGGTCTTGCAGAAGATATATGGATTTAAATACAGCCTAGTTACCTTGATCACAACAGGGAATGAATATAGCAGATCTTCAGGAACCCCGTAAGAATTGCCATCAGAAATTACTCCCATTGAAACAAACTCCCCCTGAAATGAGAAAAGTCAGAGACATTTTTCACTGCTAGAAGCAAGCAAATTTTTCAAGATTTTCTATATCCTTTATCTCTTTTGACACAACTTACTCCAGAAAAAGATTCTTTCCTCTGAACACACAGACACTCGAGGTCAGGGAGGTGGGCACAGAAGAAAAGCTTTAGGCAAACAAGCACGTTAATAGCCACATCTTACCGCTGGAGTGCCAAACCAGATGTCCCTCACATGATCACAGATAGCTTTGGCAGCTGACATGGCACTGGACAGCTTCCTGGCTTTAATAACAGCTGCTCCACGTTGCTGAACAGTCTGCAATTAAGGAAAAAACCCAACCATAACTGAATTGTAAAGCAGCAAAGCCATGGCTTGGTCTACATGCTGTTAGTAAATGCCATTGTTGTATGTAATTGTTTAATTCTATCAGCGAAGATACAGTTCTTTCACTAAACAAACACAGTATACAATCCAGAAATACAATAAAGAGTTTTGCCAACACAATTGCAGCAATGTTTCAGAGGCTCATTCCTCAACTTTACAGCTAGGACTACTCTCACACCAGCCAGATGTCTCAAGCTTTTCCCACCAGGAGACTTTGTGCATGTCAACAGCAGCAGCTGTCTCGAGCAACACACTGTCATTTAGGGTCTTCTGCTGAATACCAACGAGAAACACTTGCTGGTCTCAATCCTACAACACTTAATGCATACAATTAATTTAATTCCTGAGGATAGCTGAATCTACCTCATCATACTCAATAGTTTCTAAATTTAATAGTTTTGGTAAAGTTTCATTCATCTAGGGTTTTAGTAACCAATTTCCCTTCATATTCCGCTTAGGTAGCCTGTGCTCTTGATCAATTCATACCATTATTTTGTTTCACTAACTTAGATTATTATTTATTACTACCCTACAATAAGACACTTGCAGGCATTTCCTAGATTTTTCAGATTCCTTTTCAGAAATGGTGCTGATGATGCCACATATCTAGAATAGGGAATTGTGTGTGTGTGTCTGTGCACAGTCATGAGCAGGGTAAGAGCTGCTGGCCTTTTCTGGTGGGTGGGGAGCATCAAATGAATCATCCCACTTCATCTACAAAACTGCCCCAAAAAGTCACCATAGTGAAATGCCAGGGGTGTTCCTGTGTCACACAAGTTTCACACGAGAAATGTGATCAAAACTCTTTGTTGAATCATTTTAGCATTCCAGTTGGATTTTTCTAATGGAAGTTACATAGACTTTCCAGCCTTGAATTTTCCAAGGGCAAATAACTGATAGCAGGAAGATATCTGAAGATGGCTTATTCTAGTGAGAGAAATTTCAGATGAGGTTAGGAGAAAGCACAAGCACAAAATAACCATAAAAAAATAAAGTTTTCTTACCAGGATAAAGTCTCCCTTCAGCCAGCTGTCATCTTTTATAGCTTCATAGACTCCAACTTCCTTTCCTTTCACATTTACCTTTGCATGGTTAACATCAGGATATTGAGTGGAGGAGTGGTTGCCCCAGATGATGACATTCTTCACATCATTAGCAGTCACACCAAGTTTCAGAGCAATCTAATTGGAAATTAAATATGTCCATTGCATTGACTTCAGTTTCTCAATTTACAGGCTTCTTTGAAAGCATTGCTCTGTTTGTATTTAGCAGAGATAACACAATGGTCCTTTTTTACCTGAGATTTGGCTCTGTTGTGATCCAAACGAGTTAAGCAGCTGAAGTTTTCCTTTGGTATGGATGGGGCTGACTTTGATGCAATCAGGCAGTTGGTATTCGCTGGATTCCCAACAACCACAACCTAAGAATGAAAAAAGGAAAGATGAAGTAGGTATTTCTGCAAAACACCTCCCTTCAGTGAAATACACTGCTTGGCCTTCAAAGAAGCTATCTAAAAATTAAGTTTTCTAATCTCTTGGTTGTCTTCAACGAGATTTTTTTTTAAGTGTGTCATTCATAGTCACCCAATCTTCTGTAACTGCACATAAAAATAGTTCTCAGGTAGGTATTTTCTTTAACTTGACATCCAATGTGAAAGGCAACAAGACTTCTAGGGAGATTTGTATACTGACCTACAGCCTGGCTTCAAACCTCATGCTACCAGATATAGGGAGACACACCAAGCACACTTTTAACCAACCACTTTTAAATGCTTTCTGGACTGGCTGCCACTGTTTTACATAATTGCTTTATAATTAAGAAAGCCAGAACAGTTACTTATCTCAATGTTCATAGGCAGAAGTAAAACACTGCCTCAACTTAGATCAATTTATTACTATGCAAAACTGATTTTTATTCATCCTTCATTTGTGCCTTGAATGACTTATGTCAAACTCCATATACTCTAAATCACACAAGCTGATCTGCAAACCTCCCTTTGTATTTCCCCTTTTGAAAGTGAGTTCAGTAAGTTTTCCACTACTCTGCAATAGTCATATTGATAGTTTTTATTCCAACTGGATAAAGCAGCAAACACGTCTTTAGAAGCTGTAGGAAGTTCATCAGCAGACATTAAAAAGTCAGTTACAAAGCACAGTCAGAGTCTGGGTCTGAGATTAAGAGCAGTGGGAGAGCAGCCACATGATCCCATTAACTGTGCTGAAGGAATCTGGGAGAGAACAATTAAAATCTTCTAATGCTCCAAGTGAGATGCAAACAACCTAAATAAAACCGATTTTTGTGCAACTGTAATTCCATATTGATACTGAAGTTAAGGGTCATTATATTAAAGGACACAGATGGATATGAAGGAGGCAGCTGCATTTAGTTAATTCAGTTCTCCTAGAGAAGAGCAATAACATGCAAAAGACTGCTTTTTTTTTTTTTAAATACAGTTTTATGGGGTTGCTTTTCAAATTGGTGGTAACCAGTTCAGAGTACATGTAGAATACAGCAATACAATGTAAGACTCACCTTTTTCACCAAACAAATTAATGACTAAATCATCCACATATTTAACATTCTGTTTCCTATCTACCCTTGACTGTTTTTTGGTCTATTTTCCAGGGCATAAGGAAAGGAATGCCCACACTGAACAGGCTCCTGCTTGTGCAATATTCTTCTACAATGTAACCAGATCTCTACATAGCAGAGAATTACTGTTTTAAATTCAGTTCCTATATTCACCTTGACAGTCTTTTTGGCATACTTGTCCAAGGCTGCACCCTGAGACTTGAAAATTTTCACATTTGCTTTGAGTAAATCCTTCCTCTCCATGCCCTCTCTCCTTGGCATGGAGCCAACCAGAATTGCTATGTCGAGGTCTTTGAATGCAACTTCCTCCTTGTCTGTTGGAATGACCTCTAAAAAAAAAAGGAAAGGGGGAAAAGAATTCAGCAAGATAAATACTCATGGCATAGTGCTAACAGAATATTCTTTTGTGCATAAACAGTATATAATCTAATCTGACAAGACCACCACCTTCCCCTTCCAAAAATACAAGTAACAGTCATTTGGCCCTACCTCCACAGATTAAATACATCCCAGTAAATGGGTTTTATATACAAATATTTATCTAAAGTGGAAAACACAGGAGAAATCTGTGTAAAAAGATACATTTCATTTGCTTCTAAAAATATGTATATAAGTACATATGCTTTTCTTTACTTTTACAATAAAATCTCAGTGGAAAGGACCAACACAAGTGAAGTTTTGCTGCCCCCTTACCAATTCAAAGCAGAGAAGGTTTGATTTGTACAAGAGCTGTTACCTACATGCTTTCTTTGTCACATGTTATACTAATCACACTAACTCCTACTTGCTCCCTTTCTTCTGCTTGTTTAAACTATCAGAACTCAGCTTGTTTACATGGCTTGAGGATTTTTATCTTATATCTTTATACTGAAGATATTTTTAAGATTAAATTAGGGGTTTTTTAAATTTAAATTTTGAAATAAATATAATATACATAATATAGCAATGATATCTATATTTCCTGGCTGGGCCAGAATACAATGTACATATGCACAAGTATCTGACAATTCCTTGTCCAGGCTGAAAGCCCAGGATTAGATGATATAAACCCTGGTATCTGCATTGCCAATTCTGTTCACAAAACCTATTTGATGCCATTCTTCCTAGCTTACATGCTAAGTTAAATTGATTACATTCCACAAAATACAAAACCAAAGAAGGATCATCTAAGATTTTCTTCTGCCTAACTTCCTGCCAGCTACAGGGACTCATAAATGCAAGAATTGTACTGCAGCATCTCGTAGGTATAAGTAAAAATTGTTTTGGCCACCTCTGAGCAGCGGCAGAGCACAGTCCTGCAGCTCCATCACCACACCTTCCAGCACCGTCATCATAGGAGTTATGTCCAGCAGCACAAGAATAAGAGGCTGGAAAGAAAGAAAAGCTGTAGTGCAAGCTGGGCACAATGCATTTTGAAAATGAATTTGTCTTGTACTCAGCTGTTACCTCATGCAAGATTTAAAACCCACTTGCAGAAAACAACTTCAGCACAACCAACACCTGACAGCTTGCATAACAGAGCAGAACTCCCATTTTCCCCACTTAAGGAAGAAATTACTTCCACATTGGTAAACCATTCTGAGTGTCTGTGAGGAAACCAATCTCAGGCACTGCAGTTCTGACATTCATTCACTCCTGTGCCAGCAGGAGCAGGGAGGTCATTCTTTCTCTGTACTTGGCACTGGTGAGGCCCCACCTCGAGTGCTGTGCCCAGCTCTGGCCCCTCAGTTTGGGAAGGATGTTGAGATGCTGGAGCACATCCAGAGGAGGCACCGAGGCTGGAGAGGGGCTGGGAACACAAACCCTGTGAGGAACCACTGAGGGAGCTGGGGGTGCTCAGCCTGGAGAAAGGGAGATTCAGGGGTGACCTTATAATTCTCTACAGCTCCTGAAAGGTGGCTGTGCTCAGGTGGGGTTGGGCTCTGTCTCCAGGAACTGACAGACCCAGAGCACACAGTCTCAAGCTGTGTCAAGGGAAATACAGGTTGGATATCAGGAAAAAGTTTTTTACAGAAAAAGTGATAAAGTTCTGGAATGGCTGCCCAGGGAGCTGGTGGAGTCCCCATCCCTGGGTGTGTTTAACAAAGCCTGGATGTGGCACTGGGTGCCAGGGTTGAGTTGAGGTGCTGGGGCTGGGCTGGACTCGATGATCTTGAAGGTCTCTTCCACCCTGGTGATTGTGGGAATTCTGTGTGAGAGTTACCTGGTCTTTGCCGAAGACATCGCCCTTGGCAATGCTGTAGAGGAGGGAGTAAGCAATCTGCCCAGCTGCTCCAGTCACCAGCACTCTGACAGGCTCACCCTGCAGGGAAATGACACAGCCTTACCCACAGCTCCACACCAGCCTCACACCAGTCAAAAGCTAAGTTACTGCAGCAAGAACGTTATCATTATTTAACCTGGATGAAAGCGTGTGCCTAAAGGTGGATCAGCTCCAGCTCCTGGGATCACACTTCTGGTTCTGCTAGAACCACCAGCAATTTCCCTGTTGGTTTTACAGAAACATACCACAGCTGCAAAAAAAGATCCTTAAGAATTGCTCCTGGAAAACTTGCAGAATGCCAGGAATAACATTGTATTTGAAAAATTTTGCATTCCCTTCAACACTGCCTTGTTAACATAAAGACAATACAACATACACCCCATCCATTCATACTTGAAATTTGCTACAGAAGTTTCACTCTTGACTGGTTTTCAGATTCGTTCCCTTTCAAGGGCTGTTCCCATTAAGCACTTTGAATGCTTATTTGCAAGCAATGACTTAATGAATGCCAGAAACCAAAGAATCTAGTGGACTTAAAACTACTGCCTCACTAAACTGTTAGGCAGCAAACTTAACTAATCCACAGACAAAAGCTACATTATGAACAAATACAGACACTACTATCCATAATACAACTGTCTTTTGTCAAACTGACCCAAAACTCCAAAAGACTGGGAGAAGACTGCAAAAATGCTACTATTTTGCAAATAAGAGGGGAATAAGGGCTTGCCCTGTAGCAAAATGACACTTTGGTAAGCAAAACCAGGACTGGGAGAAATCCAGATGTTATTTAATATTGAAAATTAAAGGCTGTGAGAGTTTGGGTTGGTCAGCCTGGAGAAGAAAAGGTACCAGGGTGGCTTTTCAATACTCAAAGAGGACTTATGAAAAGAGTAGGACAAACTTCCAGTAGGGCCTGTTATGAAATGACAAGGGACAATAGTTTTAAAATTAAAAGAGGACAAACCAAGATAAGAAATAAATACTTTACAATAAGGATGGTGAAACACTGGCACAGATTGTCCAGATAAGTGGTGGTTGCCCCACCCCTGGAAACATTCAAGGTCAAATTAGACAGATATCTGAAAAACCTGGTCTTGTTGAAGATGTCCCTGCCAAATGCAGGGAGGTGGACCAATGACCTTTAAAAGTTTGTTCAAACCCAAAGCATTCTATGATTCTATCAAAATGGTCCACGTGGCAGAGGACATGAATAACCCAGTATTTCGTAAACCTGTTATTTGTATTTCCCTTTTTCTTTAGAGGCAACAGGGCTGGGGCAGATTGTGTTAGGACAGGAACAAGCAGACTGACCAGCCTGCTGGAATGCCAAGGCCACTTCTTCAGAAAATTAAAAGATGCTCATTTGAGATACACACTAGGCATAACTGAATGTGAAAGAAGTGATTTAATTGCATTCCAGGGTACATTATGAAAAGCTGCAGAGCAAAGACACGCCTTGCACTCAGTGCTGGTGATATTGCAGATGGAATACTGAGTCCAGTTCTGGAAACCTGAGTTCTGTATGGTTCTGGGGTCTGTAAGGTGAGGCTGGACATAGTCTGCAAAGGCAGAGGATAAGGGGGATCTAACAGCAGACCACCACAACTTCACAGAGAAAAAGAACACTGCTCCCAACACCTCTCAGCAGTGGCAGAACAGGGTGCAACAGCTACAAATTAAGAGAAAAACTCTTGATTTTGTGGTACTGCTGCAGCAGAACAGGGTACCCAGAGGGTCTGGATAAGCTTCACCCCTGGCAGTTTCCAAGGCCCAGACCAAACCACCTATGACATGACCTATCAGTGGCAAAAGTCTGCCTGTCAGGCTGGATTAGAGAACATCCAGGCATGGAACAAGAAAGAGGGCAGACTCTATGACCTCTACAGATCCCTTCCAACCAGGATTCCTGTCACTGATATTTATAGGAAAGCCATGTGGGGCTTCCAGTGTATTCTCTCTGCAGAAGTGACCAGCCAAGCACACTAGTGTTAGATAATTAAAAATATTAGGCTACCTCCCCCATTTTATCACATACTAGATAAAATCAGAGCATAAATGATGACTGAAATCGCAGATTTAGACCTGGCCTTCATTATGGGAATGATTCTTTAAATAACTCGTTACCCAACTGCCCGTTACACGGTGTTGAGGTGCATTACTCTCTTTTGAACTCCTCCTACCATGAGTCACACCCCTCTAACTTCATCCAAACTCCACTGTGAGGGGAAGGAGAGCAGACAATCAGTTCTTGGTGGTTTAAATCTCAAAAATAGTTCTGGTACTCTATTCTTGAGCAGGAAAATGTACCCTAACATCTAAATGATGATGGGTAGCACGGATTTAGATGCATATCAAATTTTCAAGCCAACTCTTCAGTATGTTTCTAACAAGAATCTACATTTTATTTATATAAATGGAACAATAAACACTCTTTTAAGGCAGCTAACCACATTAGTTAGTAAAATAAGTACTGAAGAGTTACAGTGCCGCAAAACCGTGGCCTGGCAAAATTCCCATTATATAAAAAGTGATCCTGTGCTAAGCTATTCCAGAACTCACACAGGTAGCAGCAAAACATGTTTTCTTCATAAGGCATCTGAAATCACTTGTGAATTGATTTTGGAATTTCCAGTGAATAGAAGAAATATTTTAAGGTCCTTTCTTCAAAAGTAGTGTCACAAAAGGGGGAAAAGGAAAAGAGAATTTTTTTTCCCAGTCTATGAACTTTATAAGCCAGTCTGATTAAAACATAAAAAATGCCAACTTATCCACTAGCATTATGGTGGATAAGCATAACAACAGGAAAGGGAAGGAGTAGAAGATAAAAAGGTAAGAAGTAGGACTATTTATTATTTTTTTACTGAGACAAACTTAGCATTTAGTCTCTAAAAAAACCCTCAAACCTTCTTTCATGACTCAGTTCCTCCTTCTCAACATAATTATTTAATACCATCCTTGCTGTTGTCCCCCATTTGGGGCTGGAGGAAACCACACAAGCTAAAATAAGCTGAGGAGTGCTGCCTACTTGTCTTTTCTTTCCAAACCTTCAGCACATTGGATAAAGTCTATTCCCCAGACCTTTCTACCCCTGCACCAATTGTGTGGATTTAGCATCAAACAAACTTCCATGCTCTCTCTTAAACCCACAAGCTGGATTAACAAACCAAAAACGTTCTGCTGCTTACAAAATGTGGATAACTCTCACCAAAAAAACGTACTTATCAGATTAAAATCGGCCTCACTGAGTGTCTGAGGCTACTTTTAGAGAGATGAGAAGCTCCCCAACAGAAGTTGTAGGTTCCAGACGCTTTAACCCGTGACTTGGCTCCTGCAGGGCTTTCATGCTGTGGTAACTGCAGGGGTGACCTTTACTCACTCTCAGGTATATAGGAACTGGAGGACAAATTAAGCAACAACCAGCTGAACTATTTTGTTCCAAAGCCTTCCCCACTCCACATTCAACCGATGCAGAGTTATAAAGCTTTAGGAAAATAAAAGAGTAGCAGAAGTAATGATAAAAAGGATGAGGGAGAAAAGCCCCAACAACTGGCGACTGCATCTCCACGTACCCTTCTTCATCTAATTCACAAAATGTAGGATCTCTCCCCCTCCTAAACTACCACAGATAAAAGCAAAGCCTTCAATATCAAGTGAGGAATTTGAGGTCTTAACGCCCTCCCCACACACTTTGGTTTAAGAACTCAGTGCCTCAGTTATTTCTGTGATTACAGCTGATATCAGCAGACCCCAAACATTCGTGCCATACCTGCAAACAGCACTTGCACTGCAAAATTGATACAGGAGGTTACAAAGGTAAGTAGAACATAACCCACAACCTATCAAATGTTGTGACAGGAACATCCTGACTACACAAGTGATAGACTTTGCATTGGTAATTGCAGTTATGAGATTATTATTGCTGATAAACTTGTCTATAAAATACCAGCAGCTTAACATTATTCCTGAATATTGAACGTTATTCCAGCCAACTAAGCTATCCCACCTTGCTTTACAATAATTACTTAATCATTAAAATATATTTTTATCTCTTCCAAAGTCTAGAGTCTGCCTAAGGAACTTTCCCTTTGCTCTCCCTTCTTTAAAGCAGAGATGTGGGGACAAGAAACAGGATTGGAAACGGAGCAGAAAGTCTCAGCAAGGCAGCTGTGCACTTGAAGAACACCAGCAGTGCGGTGGTTCAGAGACCAAAGCAATTCCAAAGGCATTCCTTCCTCAAGGAATGACCTTGACACAGGTTCCCTGTAAAACTTTTTCCATTTCATTGAGCTAATGGTGGTTGCACTGACAGATGATTTTATTTCAGAAATTTAAAGCCTCTGCCCAACACCACATGCATAATCTGAACACCAAAGGCAAGATAAAAACAGCGACATTCTGAAAAGTCTGGACATCAAAGTTCTTGTGAGACCAGCCCATCCATGTCAGCTCATCCATGTCTCAATGCTTTGAGAGTTCACATGCAAACTAGAGCTTGTTGTCATGTTGTCTCTCCTGCAAACTCCCATTTTAAATAGAAATAGTAGAAAAGAAGGATAAAGTTTACAGATTTTGATAATTTTTAGGGTACAGCTGAAATTAGCCACATTTCAGAGCATGCAAGCATCCTTTCTATAGCAAAATACTGAACCTGAAGGTTTGCGTAACAGGGCATTGAGTCTAGAGAAACACAGAGATATTTTCATGCCTAGAAAGGAAAGCAAGGTCTCTGTGCAGGTTTATATATCTATATGTACACACAGAAAAGCAGAGCACTGCAGCTCACCTCTGTAACCTCAGTGCAGAACTCGAAGGACTCCCTGACAATCTAGAGTCTGAACAAACAGCTGGATTTCCGACAGCGAGCAGGAGCCAATAAAGACATTGCACAAGCACTTTCCCTTCAGCTAACACAGAACCGCACCAAAACCTTTCAGGAGCGAAGGCGCTGCCAGCCCCCGCGTCCCCAGGGCGATGTCGCAGCCTGGGCGCCGGGAAGGGCTCGATGGGCCCTTGGGAGCCGATCCCACGGGGGCACACCGCGCCTCCCCCGCCGGGCCTGGCACAGGGAGAGGCAGAGCCGCCGCCAGGCCCGCACCGACCCCGCGAAGGTCACCGGGGCTGCGGAGAGCCCCGGGGCGCCGCCGGGCCCGGCTGCTCCGGTGCCACGGCCACCGCCAGGTCACCCCTGCCCCTCACTGCGCGGGCCCTCCCGGGAGCGGCGCGGCCAGGCGGGGGAGGCGACACCATTCCGGGGTCACCTCCTCACCCCTGCCCCGAGCCGAAGGAACCCGAGGGGAGCGGTAGCGCCGCGGGCCCGGTACCGACCATGTCTGCGGGAGCTGCGGATCCGCCGGCTGCTCGAGGTCACCTCTGCGGCGCGACTGCGGCCGTGGCAGCGCTGCGCCGAGCTGCCGTGAGGGGGCGGGACGCGCGGCAGCGCGCGGCCGCCTGGGGCTTGTAGTCGTGCTCGCCGCCGGCTAGTACCGCTCAGCTGCGGGAGAGAACTACAACTCCCATCGTGCCGCGGGGGCGGCGCGCCGCGCCCCCGCACGCTATTGGCTGTCGCTTCTCCCCGCCTCGCCCCATTCATTGAAGCGCGGCGGGGCTGCGGCAGGCGCGGGCTGGTCGGGCGGCGCATGCGCGCTCGGCGGGGAGGGAGCGGCGGCGCATGCGCGGGGGCGGCGCGGGTGGTTGCTGCGGTGACGAGGCCCCGGTACCGGCGGGACAGGCCCCGGTGCCGGCGGGACAGGCCCCGGTGCCTCGGAGCGCTCGGTGGGTGCGAGTGCGTGGCCCGGTCCTGCCCTGCCCTCCCGGACATCCCCCCGGGGATCCCGGAGCCGCGAGCCCGGGGCGGGCAGAGCGTTCCCCTCGCGTTCCCCGCGCCCTTCCCTCTCGGTGCCCCACACCTCATGCAGTCCCGCCATCCCGCTGCTTGGTCCTGTCCTTTTTATTTTCAGGGAGAGCGTGGCTAAGCTAGCGATCAGTTGTACAAAAATAAAGCTGCTCGTTGACTTGTATTTCGAATTGTTGAGTGAAGTAAATTCCTTCGGTGTGGCTGTAAGGGAGGCTGGTACCGGCATAAATCAGAACAGAGCTTCATCAGCTCTGTAAGGGTGCAAAGGAAGGGCTTGGACAGCACAGTTAGTTTTTCTTTTCCCTCAGGTCCTGACAGGATTCCCTCTTGAGAGTTTTCTGCAGGTCTCCCTTTGTCCCGGTGCTTTTCTGCAGGATTAGTTTGAAATCTTACTCTAATCCTTATAGTAGTATTAAAAAAAAAAAACAAAACAGTCTAAGGAGTGTGTATACTGAGGCAATTTTAAATCTTACTCTAGTCCTTATAGTAGTATTAAAAAAAAACCAAAGCAGTCTAAGGAGCGTGTAATGAGGCAATTTTAAATCTTACTCTAGTCCTTATAGTAGTATTTTTTTAAAAAGCAATGCAAGGAGCATGTATACTAAGGCAATTTGAAATCTTACTCTAGTCCTTATAGCTATGAACAAGAACTATTTAAATTGTGGTTTAGAGAATTAATACAGAGTTGTTTGTTTTTTTTTATATTCCTGGTGCTGATGTCCCAAACATAATTTTTTAAAAAATCAATGTAAGGAGCATGTATACTGAGGCAATTTGAAATCTTACTCTAGTCTTTATAGTAAAGCAGAGCACAGGGTTGGCTTGCTGGGAAGCAGAGGGAAACTTGGCAAGGAGGAGGGAACTTGTTGAACACAGAATTTCTCAGTGTGTCCTAAGATGCTTTACCCTGGTGACTCTTAACCTTTCTGCACCCAGACGTTGTGCAGACTTAATTAACACTATTTAAGATGGTATAAGATTTAAATATACACAAAATCTGATGTGGACCCACATAAGGTGATTTCCACTGACCATAATTGATTCAGTTTAATTGATTTCTTATCAATTTTCAGTTAAATCGATGTTAGGAGCCTGTAAACTGATTTATCTGTGTCAGCATAACAGATTGTATTGATTTAATGGATTTCAGTTAAGAGCTTAACTTGAAGCTTTTAAATTTTTTTCTGTAGGTAAGACTTTTCCTATTCTTGCTCCTTTTTTGCTCAAGCTTGTGCTCCTGGAATTATTTGCTGTTGGAGATAACAACAGATCTTCTTACTTTGTGTTGAAAGTGATTTGTTTTGATGCAAAGCCACGTGTAAATGCTTTTGTTTGTCACAAACATGTTTTTCAGTTTATTTTCAATCCCAGTATAATTAGTCCAAGTTGGACTCAGTTGTTGTCTGTGCTGATTAACTGAAGATATTGTAAAATGTTGCCTTTTATGAAGTGATGTAATTTTTAAAGTCAGCTTAAACTGACTTTACAGTCCTGGTATTACAGTTACTACTACAGTTATTACTTTACAGTTCAAACTTAACAGTTCTGGTATTTCCTTCTTAAATTTTGTTTCTGCTCGTTAAGCTTTGATGTTTTCCAAGCAAAATTTAAATGTAATTTTAGAAAATATTCCTTAATGCTCCCCAATGTTTCATTAATATGAGTCTTTCATGTAGCACTGTAAGCCAAAAAGCTGCATAAATAGAAACATGACGTGCAAATGAAGTAATGGAAATTTAGTGTGTGTGTGTGAATTGGGCTCTTGGCTAACTTTCAAATACACTGCAATTTTTGCACTCAAAAGATACTGAATTACGTAGAAATCGGTAATACAACAACACCCTGAAGTATTTAGATGTTTTAATCTCCGTTTTCAGGGGATTAAGTATTATTTTTCAAGGCAACTAGTAGTTTTGAAGGGTCGTCTGCCAAAATTATCTCTTAATTTTATAAAAAATATTTTACAATGCATTATTCTCTGTTAACAGCTGGCTGTGTTCTTTAGCTGTGCTTTGGATGGGATTATCTTTTACTTCATTGCCATCTATAGAAACTGATGAATATTTTTAGGTAAGTCCTTACACTTAATTTTCAATAATTTGTGAAGTTTTCTTTTTATCATCCTCTCTATGTCTAATACAGGTTTTTTACCTTATGCATTTACTTACAATTGTTGTTACCAAGTTATGTCTCTTGTAGCTGAGTCTGTGTGATATAATTAACATTTAAAATGCACAAGACTATGTAAGAAAAATTAACTATGTAATGGCCAGATTCAAACCTAGAAATACTAGAATTTAAATAGTTTTGTAGATCTCTTCTGCATTCTGGTCCAAGGGAATAATAGTAAGAGATTTTCCAGAAATAAAGTAAAACATTACCAAAAAATACTGAAATAGAATTAAGAGGATCAAAAGTTATTTTGTAAAATATGTGAGAAATCTATATTAGATTTTTAAAAATATATAGATATGAACAAGAACTATTAAAATTGTGGTTTAGAAAATTAATACAGGGTTGTTTTTTTATTTTTTTATTCCTGGTGCTGATGACCCAAACATAATTTTTCATTGTTCATTTCTAAACTTCAGTTATGTAGTACTGCATGGACCTTAATTGTCATGGAGAAACTAATCTATTGATTCCATTTATAATTCAGATTTTGTTTTGCTGATTTTGCTGATTCCATTTATAATCCAGATTTTGTCTTCTCTTTCTTTCTAAAAGAGAATTTTTACCTTCTATGGAAGGGGTTTAATTTTTTATTGCTTATTTTTAATTTCTTAACAGCTTAGTAGGTTTTTTAATTAAAGTTGAGTAATTATCATTAATTGATTTCTACAACCTTCAGCATGTTTTTTACAGGTAGCTAGGATGTAGTAACACATCCTGTGCTCATGTGCCTGCTGCCTATGAAGAGACACAAATGATCTGCAGCTTGCATATAATTTGTATTAGTAATCTTTATGAACTATTCATGAGTCAAATATTAATGAAAATTGTGAACAGAAAGTTCTTTTTTATTTGTTTTCTGTGAGTAGGTGGATAGTAGGAGCAGGTGTTGTAGGTTTGGGGGGCACTGAAAGTTCAGGTCTGTGGTGTGGTGCACGTCAGATTCGAGGCTCTGGTGGGCAGAGGGGCTGGTGGCACAGTGGCTTCACACTGGCACCCCCAGAGCTGAGGGACCCTGAGATCTGTCCTCATCACCACTGGAGATGGTTTTGCTGGAGGGTTTTCTTCTCATGGTTGTTACAAGGTCCGGGATACAGAGAATCCCTGTTTAAAAACAAAGCCAAACAAAACCAACCCACAAACCAAACAACCACACTGGACACGGCACAAAGGCTGTAAATTCAGCAAAGCTGATCTCTGAATTGTTGCCAGCTGAGCAGAGGGGTTGTGTTCCTGGTGCATGAGAAGCAGTGTTACTGGATTCTTCTACCTTAACACAGATCTGTCTTTCTCTTGGTCGAACAGAGACTTTGTGACAGCAATGTGTGGGTTTTCTACTCACTGACGTCACTGTCTGGAGGAGAAGAGGCAGGTTGGTATTCTAGAGAGGAGATGACCTGTGTAACAATTCAAGTTCTACCAAAGCAAACCTTGTACTCTGAAAGTTAATTCATTGCAACATTAAAAAAACCCAGCCTGACCACCAGCTCCTGTTCCCAACACGAGATGCAAACATTAAGCTGATGTCCTTGTGAGTTTTTTAAATGAGGTAAGCATTTAGTCAAGGGAAACAGGTCCTACTGAAAATAAATGTTTGCTTTTTCTCTCATAAGACTTCCTTTTGCATTTGTTCATTATAACCTGATAATCAAGTGATACATTTTGAACAAGAAGCTAGCAACCATGATGATGACTTTCCATTTTTTAGGTGCAGTGCAGATGGGTGAATCCATCTGCTTCCTTTATGCATCCTGTCCATGTCACAATGACTGGTGAATGCTCTTCCATGCCAAATCTCTTGCACAGTTACAAGAGGTTTTCTCATTAGGCTTATTTCTAGGAATTATGGTCACATAGTTTGCTTAAAATATTTCAGTTTGTTTTACAGCATCCATGTGAATTTATTTCTATATTTTTGCAAAAAAAAATATTCTGTATTTATATATTATATATATTTAATACACATATATATTTTATATATATATCTATAAGTACATATTCGGTATTTCTGTATTTTTTTTTAATAGCTGGTACTATACAAACAAATTTTTTCTCCTTTTTTCCCCCAAGAATTGAATAGTGTTTCAAAGAAAATATCCCTAGAAATACCAGTGGAAGGAGAATGATGTCTTATGGTGTTGATTTTTTGAAGTTAATTGTATAAAAATATAATTCTTTATGGATGGAAAAGACTGATAAATTTTTATCTTAATGGCATGCTCAAAGAAAATGTTAGAAAATTTGGAGCCTGTCATGAAGTCATTTAGAATTGTCCTATCAGGCTGGGATGGTGTTGAGGAATTAGTTAATTTGAGCTCAGGGTAGTCATGTGCCCAGTATGAATGAGAAGGGA